CGGCAGGTCGTTCGCTCCTAGAGGGAGTGAGGGACCTGCTGCCCCCGAATTCCGCTCGTGCCTCCCCAAGGACCTGCTTGTTAAGCTGGTGCCTGGAGCAGGCCCTGGGGCTAGGGGAGGGTATCTCAGGCCTGCCCGGAGCTACTCCGGCAGGCTGGGTAACACAAGTGCAGTCTGCTCCAATGGGCCAGACCAGGCGGCGTGGCTGCAGCCTGCCAGCTCCGGAGCTGCAGCTGCTTCCAAGGCTGGGGGCAGAGCAGCGTGGCCAGAAGCAGACAGACTCTGGTCCCGCCTCTTCCCTTCTGGCTCTGCTGGGTGTGCTGCCGCTCCTTGCCCCCTCTGTAGCGGGGAGGGGCTGTGTCCCACCTCTCCCTCTCTATACCAGTTCATAAGCTAACCCCTTCTCTGATGCTTCCCTTTTTTATTAAAAAAAGTCAGCTTATGAACGAGTCTATACAGTATGTTGGCAAATAGGTTAATATACAACATGGTTTTTACTATCTGACAAGACATAAAAATGTGTTGTCACTCACAATTTACAGCATGAAGTGCCATGAAGAGATTCCAGGCAATGTTCATTTTTAAATGTCTATCTATGAATGGGCTCCCCCATCAGTTCCTGCAACCCCTGGCTGGCAGACCTCTGTGTGAATGAAGCAGCAGGCAGTCTGCCAGGGAACCTCCACCAAGTGTCTTTATGACTTTTTATGGTGCATCACAATATGGCAGCAGTTATGAGGAGCCCCCTTCCGGCTCCCTGATACAGACTTTTATGCTGCTGCTTTCTTCTCAGCGCTGAGCTAGTGACCTCATCAGGCTCCCTACAGGTGCCAGTGATCCCCTCCACCCTTCCAAACCCAAACTACTCAGTCCCTCCTACTCTCATTGCACCAGGTGCCCTGGGTGTTCTCAGTGACCAGGGTGCTGGCTTCCAAAGGGCTCCATTTGTAGCTGCTAACAGCCCCCATCAAACTGCTGTGATTGTGTAATTGACCATATAGTGAAAACAACACCCAATGTAAAGTGTTACCTCATTATTCAATTCAGAACCTAGATCTGCCATTATCTGCTCTGGACAGCCATGTTGATAGATAATTTTACATGTCTTCTTCTCCACCTCACATGCTGTCATAGTTCTAAGTGGAAATTCTTCTACCTATTTTGAAAAATCTGTAGCTGTCAGTACATACTGATATCGCTTCTGTGGTACTGGATAGAGCCCAATTAAATCTGTTCTCAGCAATGTCCAGGTTTAAGAACCTATGTGCAAGAATACAGGCTAGAGTTATAATCTGGATCTTTCTTATGACATTTTTATTATAATCCCATATATAGTAAGCAAAGTAAATGTTATAATGTGGTTTCTATATTCGTTGATGTCGCCACACAGTCAGAATCTAACTTTCGGTGTTTTTCAGAAGTAAATAAATACAGGCCAAACTTCTGCAACTGAAAACTTGCAGAGATATACTGTGCCAGCACAACAGGCAATAGAAGTCATTGCTGCACTATGTCATCCATTAGTTCACATGGGCACTTGTTATAACTGATTAGAGGCTCTATTGTGAAGCAATAATAAATACAGATATAAGTAATTAGCTTGGCTGATGTTCAAAAACACTTCAGATGTGTTTAATTTGGGAAAAGATGCAAAGTGTTTGATGTAATGGGGAGCCATCCACTCAGGTCCACTTCATTGCAGGGGTTATAAAGTTAAGTCCAATCCAAGCAAGACATTTGCCTTACATGATATCATGTAGGAACTCCTGCAAAGCATATGACAGAGGTACCAGGCTGACCAGAACCTTCTGTAATTCCATGGGTTCTCTGCTATCTTTCTAATGAAACCAGAGAACGTGGCCCAGAGCACTCAAAGGTCTCCTTGGAGATCTAAGAGGGACCCAAACCAAGGAGGGGAAGCCTCAAATGCCATAGCTCTGGACAGTTTCTTGTCCCTGAAGAAGTCAAATCTATTTTAATCTACAGTCGGTGCACTAAGAATTTCTGACTTATCCAACAGGGCAGAAAGAGAACCCAGGTCTCCTGATTCTTAGTCCAGTGCCATAATCATTGTACCATTCTGACTCCCATGGAACATGGTTTCTTTATACCCTACACCATGTATTTGGTGTCTCTGCTATTCTCACCAGATCCCTCCATCCCTCCATCATCCTTTCCACACCACCATCTCCTGTCTTCATGTCTCTGCTACTTATCATATTTGATAGTGTTCTTGGGCAAAGAGGTCATCACTGCCATTGCTACACCCCTAGGCACACAGGTGGCTGACTCCCTGCATGCATTGTACTCATAGCTGAAGGATGCAGAATCATTTCATGGGAAGTGGAGAGGACATGGGCAGACAAATAACTGCTCTGAAGCTGCCTGGCGGCTGTCTCCCCGCTCGCCAGCAGAAATGGCGGCTTCCCGCAGTCAGGGAAAGTTTTGAGGTTCCCCAGCCCCTGCTACTCCTCTGCTCTGCCTTCCAGGAAAGACCAGGTCTCTCTGCAGCTGCAGTTCCCGCCCCCCACATTTCACATCACCATTTCATCCAAGTCCTGGATCCCTCAGGCTT